GGTCCTGCAGTATATGGGCTGTGTTTGTAATTCCCTTGGCAACTTTGTTTATTTTATTCATTTGTTTGTTCTGTTTATGTTAGTTTTTTTTTGTTCTGTATTTTTTCTTCAACGTAATTGTAAATAATAAAAATAAAAAAGGAAGCCAACTTTAATGAACTCTGAAAAATGATAAGCAGAGTGCCATGGCAATACACCCTTATGGGAAAAGGAGTCCAAGAAGGTTAGGAAATTTTGGAAATGAAGATTCTCCAAGCACAACTATGCACAATTCCATCAAGCAAAAAGTGTAGAAGAAATCAGAGGATGCCTACTTGGCTACACAAAAAGTTAAGTGATAGACTGAAAGAAAGGAAAAAAAGAACATATGTAGGAAGTAGAAGCAGGGCCAGGCCACAAAAGAAGAATATAAACAAATAGCAAGGGATGGAAGGGATAGCATCAGGAAAGCTAAAGCAGGAAATGAACTGAGACTAGCAAGAGATGGTAAGAAGAAAAAGAAAGCCTTCTTCAGATACATCCAGCACAAAATACATGAGAAAGAGAAGGGTGACCAGCTGCTTAAAGTGGATGGTAGAGTGATAACAGATGACAAGGAAAAGGCAGAGGTGCTCAGTTCCTACTTTGCCTCAGTCTTCTCCCACAAGAAAGTCTACAACCAAGAGGAAGTATTATACAAGTTGAAAGTGAGATGGCAGGCCAAAATTGACAGACAAAAGGTCAAGCAATACCTAGATGGAATAAAAACATTCAGATCTCCAGGGCCTGGTGAACTCCATCCCAGAGTCATAAAAGAGCTACTGGAGGAACTCTCAGAACTCTGGGTATTATCTTCGATAAATCTTGAAAAACAGGAGAAGTGCCAGACAACCAGAGAAGGGCTAACATTGTCTCTATCTTCAAAAAGGTGGTGGGGGGAGATGACCCTAGGAACTATAGACCATTTAGTCTGTCATCAATACCTGGAAAAGTTCTGGAGCAAATTATTAAAAAATTCAACTGCAAGCATCTTGAAGAAAATGCAGTGATTAATAGAAGCCAGCATGGATTTATCAGAAATAAATCCTGTCAGACTAATTTAATCTCCTTTTTTGACTGGGTAACCTCCCAAATGGACAAAGGGAACACTGTGGATGGAGGTAACTAGTGGGGTGCCACTGGATTCAGTCCTGGGCACAGTGCTTTTCAACATCTTTATTAATGATTTAGATGAGGAAATACAAGGAAAGATAATCAAATTTGCAGATGATACAAAACTGAGTAGAATCGCAAACACCCTAGAAGACAGAAACGTGATCCATGGTGATCTTGATAACCTTGAACACTGGGCTGAAAGGAACAGAATGAGATTCAGTACGGATGAGTGTCAAGTTCTCCACCTAGGAAAAAGAAACCAAATGCATCAATACAAGATAGGGAATATGAGGCTCAACAGAACTGGGGGAAAAAAGATCTTGGAGTAATTGTGGACAATAAGCTAAACATGAACCAGCAATGTGATGCAGCTGCCAAAGGGGCAAATGCTATTTTGGAATGCATTATCAGAAGTACTACTTCCAAATCCTGAAGTAGTAGTTTCTCTATATTCCTCACTAGTCAGACCTCAGCTAGAATCTTCTGTCCAGTTCTGGGCACCACGATTTAAGAAAGATGCAGGAAAATTAGAAAGGGTCCAGAGGAGGGCAACAAAATGCTCCAGGGTTTGGAAACACTGCCCTGTGAGGAGAGACTGAGAGAACTGGGCGTGTTCAGCCTTGAGAAGAGATGACTGAGCAGGGGCAAAAATACCTTAAAGGTTGTTACAAAGAGGAAGGTTAAGATCCCTTCTTACTGCTACCAGAGTGTAGGACATGGAATAATTGATTCAAACAGCAACAACCCAGATTCAGGTTAGATATCAGGAAAAGCTTCCTCATTGTCAGAGCAATATGACAGTAGAACCAGCTGCCTACAGAGGTGGTGGGCTCTCCCACATTCAAAAAGAAACTGGACAGCAATCTGAGTGGGATGGTGTAAATTGGTGTTCTGTAACAGCTGATGGCCTTCATGGCCCTTTCCAAGTCTAGTATTCTATGATTATAGTTTAAATGGAAATGCAGTACATTGTGCCATGGTGGAAAACTGTGACTAGGTGATCTATGTTTGCTTGATTGGCTGTCTAGGTGCAACTTCAAAATTCAGCTCTCCTTTTGCTGGTTATTTATCTTTAAATTGGAGTTTGTTGGGCATTCATCAAACACAAGATACTTTCAAACAGAGAACGGTCTTCTGACAGCCCTTCATATACTATTGTCTGTAAAAGGGAACACTTAGTTATCCCAGTAGGTGGTAAATGGCCCCTGATGGGGGATGGAAAATCCAGCTGGAGTGTGCTTGCTCGGCTTGCTGCTTTCTCTCCCATTCCTTCCCACAAGGCAACTGGTGGGCAATGGAACCACACTGAAACATGGAACAATTTTTATTTAATATTGTGCAGCTTTACTATGATAGATTGTAAAATAGCTTCTGTCCTTGGTTGCTTCCAGATGAGGCGTTGAATGTGTAATTCCATGGCCTTGTTCAGGGACAATCCATTAAGAAACAAAAGATGGAATCTTAGCATAATGTGTCCTGATAGAACCATGACAGCTTGGTCTGAAACTCACCACAGTTTTAGCTCTCTGGCTAGTGTTTCTCAGAATCTTTTCCTTCCATGCGTTCCTTCACTGGATACTCTGATTCTTGCTATCATTGAACAGTAACATTCTAAATCAGTGGTAGTCAACTTCAGGGAGTTCACCACCCCATGGCTTATATTCTTGAATTCATTGGCAGTGGGGAGTGGAGGAACATCAGTTTGCTATTGGTTGGCAGGCAATAATTTAGCTTTTTCTAAAACTAATGTTGACCTTTGAATTGTCCCCTTGTGGTTGGCATTTGAATTTTAGTGGCAAACCATCAGTTATTTTGCCCTCACTATGAATTAATTATAGAATTTATTGGTCTAAATAAATCAATATTACTTGAACATTTCCACAGTGTTTTGCATTAGAATATTTTAAAAAGATTTGACATTTCTGTATAGTTATGGGATTTTGAATCTCTTTTTATTTTGGGTTTTTTGTAATAGTTGAATCAGAGTTGAAGAAAAATTCTCACATGCCACTCTGGGCATTACCACCCTGATTTTTTGACTCCATGTTTGAATGTGGATTTACCCAAAACCTATCCAGAATTCAAAATTGACTGGAGTTTCTAGTTAGGGTCCAAAACTCTGAGTGCATAATCAGCTTTTTGACTGGATTTAAGCCAGATGAACCACCAGGGCTTGAATCAAGGCCATCTGTTATGGGATGCCACAGGAATGACATCTGCTTCCCAAAAAGGGTGGTTACAGATGAGGCTTTATTCTGCCATCTTCCTGGCTCATTTATGACATTTTAGGAGGAATATATTTCAGTTCCATCAACAGAAGTTTTCGGCATGCTATCCTGTTCCATTCTACTGGATGAGTTTCAGCTTCTGTGGCCTGATGATGTTGACAGGGTGCTTGGGTCTGTCTGGCCTGTGACCTAATTACTTGATCCTTGCTCTTCTTGGTTGGTTGGAAAATCTGTAGAGGGAGTTTTAGTCTGTGTCCAGGAGGTTGTTGATGCCTCTTTTAGAGAGGGAAAAAAGGAAAAGATGGAACAGCTGCTCAGTGCCTCAGTGATAGCATAGGAGCTCTCCATCTGGAAGCATACACATATTCCTATAGCAACAAGGCCAGACCAAGACCGAGCAGCATACAGTAATCCTGCCCCAAGTCAAAGTTCACATAACCAAAGTTGATCAAGTTATTTTCACACCTCAGGCAGAAAATGCCACAAGCATTTTCCCCCCTCCCTGGTGATAAAAATATAGTTATAATGATTAAATAGCTAATCATATGTTACATAAAAATGTCCATCTTATTCTGCCTAATGGGAGGGCCGGAACTGTAAAAACCAGCTTCACTTCCTTAAGTGTATATTTTTCTCTGGAGAATAGTATTCCAAGGCTTTTTGCTTTATATTGCTGTTTATAGTATAGTTCTCTTTATATTATCATTGGATATACTCAGTTTTACAATTGTTTAAACTTATTCTTTACTGCTTCAATAGCTACATAATAAAAACAAGTGATGTATACTTTTTGTAAATCTGTATCAATGTTCCAGTATTGGTATCAAAGTTCTAGTGGCCTCTCCCCAAAATACCCACTTTGAAATCTAACATGCAAATATTATCTGTATCTGAACATAATTAAAACTAAGCAGCATATCTTTGTAACTTTGTGAGCCAGAGCACCTAATATGAAAAAAAGAAGTGTTCATAACTTCCAGCATGATTATCTAGGGACTGTGCTTTGTAACTCTGGCTGATGAACATCTTTTAGAAGATTATTTTTATTAAAAAAATATTTAGTACATTTTAGATAAATTGATGACAGACAGCATGATAAATGTGGGAGTATAACAATCATTGGTCAGCAACTGAGCCATGCAGATCAAAAACACTTCTTGTTTGGTTTACAAAATGCAGATTTCTAACAGTCTTTCAGTGCAACAACTAATTACTGGTAATCTTTTATTATGTACTTGCAATGTGTTTAGCAGGTTTCTTTTGTCTGTAAAGAACCAGGCCTGGGGCTTAACTGGTAGCTATAAGAAATGACCAAAGGGGTTCTTCAATGAAAACTTATTTTCTTTCCCCTGCTATGTAGTTTAAATGTAATGAATAAGAAGTGAAAATTACTATTGCTATTATTATTATTATTAACTTGTCACTGTCAAAATATTCTTTTTCTGTGTTTTATTTTCCAAAACTGGTGCTGCTTTTCAGCCTGTAAGCATAAGAAATCCACAAAACTGAATATAGTGCCATTTGTCTCTTGCTGTAGTCTATTTAATGTTCCACTGGCAGTAGATGCTGCCAGTTGCTATGGCAACACCATAACTGTACCGTGCAAGCGTGTGTGATTGTATTTTGTTCTCCTTGTAGATGGAGGAGATCAAATTTAAAGACAGAGCAGTCTACGTGCTGGAAAGAGAGTTAGGGGTTCAAGCCGGGCATGCTCAGAGACTTCAGCTCCAAAAGGAGGCTTTAGATGAACAACTTTCCCAGCTCAGAGAGGCTGACCGGCATCTGAGCAGCCCCAAGCGGGAACTTCCTCATCCAAGTGGTGCAGGAGACACTTCAGATCATTCAGGAAGTCCTGTAAGCACTTTCTAGTAGTTTTGCCTAAAACAAATATGCCAAAATCTTGATTAGTGAGTGCACATTCCTGTACAGTTTTTTGCCCCCTTTAGTAATTGTGGAGACAACCAACAAGGTATCTGTTCTCATTTGGTCATGTGACAGCTTGTGCTTTTTGTTTTGTTTCATTTCACTAGCAGATTAAAAACAAAACAGGTTGTCAGTTTCCTAGTTTATAAACCTAGCTTACATGAAACTCTTGCCTTAGTCTGGCAGCTTCGAAATGCTCTTTTTAAGGGCTTCTCTACGTGGAGGCATTTATTTATGGTGCTGTTGTGATCCCCCACTCATAGAAGTTTGCAGGGCCTTTTCACCACATCTTCATTCTTCAGGGCCTCTCCCATGTTTTTCTGCCTTTTTAGTGTGTGTGTGTGTGTGCACACGCACATGCTTAAGGGCAAGGAAGGTATGTTTAAACCACAACATACTGGAATGAAAGCCTCGCAAGGAGTGACAAAACTGGCATAATGCAGTTATCCCACCACACCACCTTGGGCATGGCTGATATAAAATACAGATAGTCAGAGAAAGAAAACCCCCAGGAAATTCTTGTGTATAGATGCATTTTTACTTCCGCAATGGACATGAAGAAGACATCTCAACAAAGCAGTGGTTAAAATTCCCCTTATGTAGAGAAGTCCCAAATCTCTCCATGCCAGCCTTCCCCAACATGATGTCCACCAGATGTTTTGAAGTGTAACTCCCATTCTGGGTGGATGTTTATGCATTATCAAAAAAGAGGAAATATATCACCAAGAAGAGGACAGAAGATGCAAGTTTTCATACAACTTGCATTAGAGATCTCTCTTATAATTTAAGTGCAAATGCAGTTCCTCTCCCTGTCATAACTAGGTGCTTCAGTTACTGTAACTCAGTGCAGTTTGTGCCTGCACAGTCCACTGTCCTGGTCCTGAATAATTATGGGCACCCTCAAGGCCCCTGCTGCTCTGCATACTTAGGGCTCTTCATTTTTAGACTGCACTTGGATTAAACAACCCTCCACAGTACCACCATACTCTCATTACCTCTGACTTGCTCATTACCTGCTATACCAGTTGGTGCCAAGGGAGTTGTCAGACATCTGGAGGGAATTTAGTCAGAGGACTGTGCCGTACAAATTCATAACTGATGACTGTATGTTCATTTTTAGGGATTACTTCCCATACCTGTGGCAAGTGACAAAGGAGAGTTTACCAGTGGAAAAAAGAGTAAAATGGCCATTTCCATAATTATTTTAGGCATAATTACTAATAGCAGTGAAATGCTGATCAATGCTTTTGATTTTATCCAATGCTCCAGAAAGTGAATGAGATACCAACTAGCATACTATCTCCTCTTTCTTTCATACTATGCAATCTCTTATGCCGTTAACTCTAAATTCACCTTTTATACTGACTTTCTTTGTAAGTATGCCACTCTCCCAGCTTCTGTATTAATTTGCTAATGATTGAAATTTCTTTCTGTGACATTTGTTAAAACCTATTTTCATTGTGGATCCTCATCATGATTTCTTTTGTACTGCTGCTTAATTTGAGAAGTAGACTTTTTTTTCAAAAACATAAGCACAAAATCCTTTTTCTTCTTTGTTCCAAGCCTCTCCTGCACCTGTTGAATGAAGAATCCTAGCACTGTTGAGTTTTAATAGGGCCAAATATAGTCTTTTGTTGGGTTGAATTAAAGTGTTCTACATAAATGTTTCCAATGAAATAGAAATAATCAATAAAAACAAGAGAAATTTGTTCATTCATTCTAAAAATGAAGGCACCTACTCTTATATTTTTATTCGTTTTTTATTTGAGTTAAACATTTTCACTTGTGGATTGATTAAAACACAATCCTGTGATTTTCAAGTGACCCACTTAGGTATTCAGGTAAATCCTCAGCTCCATGGGAAAGCAACACATGCAATCGTAGAATTGTACATACCTATCACATTTTATATCTCAGTATTTACAAATATTGCATTTCCATAACAAAATTGCAAATGGCTTACTTGTTTAAAGTACTAAATTCAACAGTGGCACATAATGGAAACATTGCAGTAATTCTGAAATCAATGTTTTCTTTCATATTTTCAAGTATAGCATTTGTGACTCTGTATTTACATATGTATACTTTTTTTGAATTTGCATTAGCCTCCTATCTTACATATCTCCTGGCTTAAATTTCTGTTCATCTCATCTTTCATATTAAGGTACTGAGTACATTTTTTATGATTAGTCAGCCATGGATAGATTCAAAGCAAGGAACAAGATGGGGTCTATAAAATGTTCTAAGATATGTTTTCATCTAGGAACAGTTATTTGCAGTTATTTTTTGTTTTAGGAACAGCAGTTGGATGAACGTGATGCCAGGCGTTTTCAACTTAAAATTGCTGAACTAAGTGCAATCATCAGGAAACTGGAAGATCGGAATGCATTATTGTCAGAGGAACGCAATGAGCTTGTAAGAAAGCATTTTTTTCATAAAATAACTTCTGACCAGAGTATATCATTCAGTTACATTTTATTGATACACGTATTGCACTTAGAACTGCAATAAGATAAAGTTTTTCATTCACTGATAAACCTTTACCAATCTGGATATATGCCTTTGATTATGTCTCTCATCAAACTGATCAGAGTTGAAATCCAAAATTACCTGAAAGGTGTCATTTTATACAAGATCTAGCTCAGTTGTTATAATGCAGTATTTTTATATCAGTTTAGTTCGTATTTATTTAATTTCTGGACAATAGAAAAATCGCTGTATCAATGCAGTTATGGAATGACCTCAGAAATCTATAAAAATCAAGTGCCTTAGGGACAATACTGTTGTTCGGTCACAAAGTCTTGCCTGACTCTTTGCAATCCCATGGACAATGTTCCCCCAGGCTCTTCTGTCCTCCACCATCCCCAAGAGAACACCCAAGCCCACACCCATCCCTCCAGTGACCCCATCCAGCCACCTCAACCTCTGCCATTCCTTTTTCCTTTTGCCTTCAATTGTTCCCAGCATCAAGGTCTTTTCCAATGAGTCCTTTCTTCTCATTAGATGGCCAAAGTATTTGATCTTCAGCTTTAGTACCTGGACTTCTAAAGAGCAGTCAGGGTTCATTTACTTTAGGATTGAGTGATCTGATCTCTTTGCAAATTTAGGGGACTCTCAGGAGTCTTCTCCAGCATCACAATTCAAAAGCATCAGTCCTTCAGCACTCAGCCTTCCTTTTGGTCCAGTTCTCACAGCCATACATTGCAATTAGGAAAACCATAGCTTTGACTATGCGAACTTTTGTCAGCAGGGTGATGTCTCTGTTTTTTATTATGCTGTCTAGATTTGCCATAGCTTTCCTCCCAAGGAGCAAGCATCTTTTAATTTCATGGCCACAGTCACCGTCTGTGGTGCATATGTCACTACCTCCATTTCTTCCCCATCTATTTGCCAGTAAGTGCTCCAACCAGATGCCATGATCTTAGTTTCTTAATGTTGAGTTTCAAGCCACCTCTTGTCAATCTATTTTGTATTTACTTGGGTTAGCCATCAACCCTGCTTGCCTTAAAGTAGTTAATATTTGCTGGAGGTGGTCTAAATGCTCCTTCCAAGTGCAACCGAATATCACAATATTGTTGGTATAGGCAGCTGCACAACGAGACAAGTGCCGTAAGACATTGTCCATAAGCTGCTGAAAGATGGCAGCTGCCCCATGCAACCCAAAGGGCATACACAGTAGTACCTTGGCTCACAAACTTAATCCGTTCCACGTCTCTAGTCACGACCTGAATTGGTCATGAGTCAAGTCAAATTCCCCCCATAAGGTTCAATGTAAATAAGATTAATCCATTCTGTAAATATTTTTTCATCACAAAAATTTGAAACAAAGTAACAAAGAACAACAAAGTAACAAAGTACAGTACAGTAGAGAACACTAACCTAGGTGGGGTGGGGAGGTTATTGTTTGGAGGGAGAGTCCAAGGAATAATCATGTGATAGCGATTGTGCTTGGGTGTGGGGGGAGATGGATGCAATTGTGATTGTGCTCATTCAGGGAAGACGGGCATGATTGTGATCGTGCTGTGGGGGGAGATGGGTGCGATTGTGATCATGCTCGGGGTGGGGGGGAAGACGGGTGTGATCATGCTCGGGGGGAGATGGCCACATTTGTGCTTGTGCAGGGAAGACAGGCACAACCACAATCGTGCTCTAGGGGGTGGGAGAGATGGGCGTGATCATGATCATGCTCAGGAGGGAAGATGGGTGTGATCATGATCATGTTTATGTGGCAACCTGGCCACGATCGTGGTTGTCAATGGAACTCCCTGCCACCCTGCCCACATTCCCTGTCAGTATAACAGGATTAGGAGGGAGGGTCATGTTGAAGGTACCTTGTTCCATGTAAAACTTGCGAGGAAGCAAGCTTCACCCAACAGGTCCTTTTATTTGTAGTTTGCAGCTTTGGTTGCAGCTGCGCTGCCCAAATTGCCAAAGCCATCTCCTCGCCTGGGTTCTTCCTCCACCCTGGTTCTAAGGCAAAGGTCAGTGTCACTGCTGGGGCAGTGGGGAGCTGCATATCTTGGGCACTGGGTCTGCCCTTGATGCTCCTGTCTGGCTGTCTGCATGTTGCACCACCACCAGCAGTTTCCAGCCTTCTCCCAAAGACTGCCTTTGCATGTCTCCTCATCCTCATCCTCCCCTCCCCCCCTTCCCTCCCCTCCCCTTCTCTCTCGCTCTTCCTCTTGGACATACCCACAAGCTCCACTAGCCTGTCCTTGTCCCCAAAATATGCAATTCAGGTCACTTCCAGTTGTCCCCAGAAATGTTTAATTGCACAAGCCCCGTGTACCAGATGTGGATTGGATGAGGATTCATAGGGGTGAAATGGAATCAGCAGCAACGAAACAGAATCAGTATAGGTGCACTGGATACAATCTCTTGAAGGCAAAGGGTCACAGGTAACAATTGTATGGAGAGAATAGAATCATTTAGATAACTGGCAGCACCTTGTATATAAATGGAGCACCAATTTACCATAGCCAGCAACAGAAGGCTCATGAACACATGGGTTAGCAGCAAGATTTGTCATTTTGTGTAAATGTATTTTTTCCTTTTTTTTAGTTGAAACGTCTAAGAGAAGCTGAGAGCCAGTACAAACCTCTGCTAGACAAAAATAAGCGCCTAAGTAGGAAGAATGAGGATCTGTCCCATGCCTTACGTAGGATGGAAAATAAACTAAAATTTGTAACACAAGAGAATTTAGAAATGGTAAGTTTTTACATTAATGTATGAATAAGCAATTCAGTATTTACTTGAGCAAAATACTATTATTGTCTAAAATGATAATGGGGTTGTTATTATTTACCTTTTCTGTGATACTGTGGAATATACATCTAAGATAGTTCTTCAGACTGATTCAGTTAAAGCCTGATCAGTTTAAAGTTATTATTTAAGCCATATATCTGTTGAAGGTCACTAATAAATACATCACATGCAAGTCACTCCAAGTAAAATTGATATCATGCCCATGTAATTGATAGGAATCTGCTCTCATTTGCAGTCATGAAGCCACTCCCCACACATCTCTGGGTTTCAGGAAGGTGGTCAAGACACAGCTTTTTAAAATGGCTTTTAAATTTGTTATTCTTATTGTTTTTAAGATCTCTCTCTCTCACACACAAACTTCTATACTATACTCTATATATTAAGAATACTAAGTACTGCACATTAAAATGAAGCATAATAATAATAGGAGCCCAGATAAAATAATACATAAGTGAAACATCTAAAACATTACAATACTATAAGAATAACAACAGGGAAGGAAATGAGTCCCTCACAGTTCTGGGAAAGCCTAGCTGAATACATAGGTTTTTAGGAAGTGTTAATACTTATTGCCAACACTGCCTCTCAAACCACATGTGGAAGTGGTCCAAAGGCCTGGTGCCACCACTTGCAAAGGATTGCTTGTGCAGGGCTTCCTGGCAATATTCCTTTGGCCACAAAGAAATCAGTAAAGACTTCTAAGAAGATCTCAGGATCTGACTGAGTATATATAAGGGAAGATGATCATCTAGTTCTGAATTGGTCAAAGCTTTCTATGTCAACAGTAAATGTATAACAACGTTTGGTAGCTAATGGTCAGTGTAGTTCTTCAGTATTACATATTGGGGTTATATGTGGGTGACAGTGTCAGCTGTCATGTCCTAGGATAGACTAATATGATGCTTGTTGAAAACCTTCTCTAAATAGTCTCTTAACATTTGTTCTGTTACTTTAGAGACAAAGGGTGCGGACAATTCGAAGACCAAGTTCTTTAAACGACCTTGATCAGAGTCAAGAAGAAAGAGAAACTGAGTTTCTGAAACTACAAATAATTGAGCAGCAAAACATCATAGATGAACTTTCAAAGGTAATAGATCATCCACCAATCAGTATAACAATTCGTAAGTGAATGTCATATGGGCTGAGCCTATCATTACTCTGTGAAGACAACTACTGGAAGTGGAGTTGTGTGGGGAAGTAAGTCATCAATTAGAATCATTGAGACTTAAGATGGACATGGAAAGGAGCACAGGCATCTTGAATAATAGCATTAAGCTGGGGGGTGCAGAGGTAGCACATCTTTTACACCAGCCTCCCCTGAGGTAGTGCCTCCGTTGATGTGCTGAATTTCTATTTCCATTATTCTCAGCCAACACAGTTATTCAAAGTTTCAGCAGGAACATTTCAAGGTACCTTACATTATGCTCTCTACCCACCCCAATCTTCTGGAATTGCTGAAATGTTGTAGGAGAGAACAGAGGCTGAGGAGGTTCTATGAGAAGCTTTCCCAACACTTGACAAATTGCTAGGGAAAATAAGTAGTCACTGTGTTTAATTTTCTAAGAACAGAACACTAACCATATGAAGTTACAATATCTAGAGGAGATTGTACAATAAAAATATGCCCTGAGAGTCTGCTGAAGAAAATAAGACAAGCATACTTGCATATAACATGTTCTTCTAATTCTTTTAAACTAGACCCTAGAAACTGCTGGCTATGTGAAGAGTGTAATAGTAAGTATTTGATGTTGCCTTTATCTGTGTTTATGTGCATTATCCCTGGAATCATACAGCACAGTTGTAATGTAGGATTTCATGTAGTAATAGCAAAGTGAATCTATTAAAAGCTTGTTATGAAAGCTTCACAAAATACCTATTCAGTTATCATTTTTAACACAATGTTTTTAATAGAGATCCCAAAAGCAGAAGCTTGAAAGTTAATGCAAACAATGCTTTTAAAGCTTGCATATCATATTTTTAGCATCAAGGCTCTTTGAAAATATTCTCTTTGCATGACATATAAATTGTGCAGTTTGATTGCCAGGTTTAATTCAGTGCCAGTGTAGTGTAGTGGTTAAGAGCGTGGGACTGGGACTCAGACAATCTGGGTTCGAGTCCCCGCTCAGCCATGGAGCCAACTGGGTGACTTTGGGCCAGTCACAGACTCTCAGCCCAACCTACCTCACAGGGTTGTTGTTGTGGGGATAAGATGGAGGAGGAGGAGGATGTAAGCTGCTTTGAGCCCTTCGTAGGAAAAAGGCAGGATATAAATCCATTAAATAAATAAATAAATAAATAAATTCCAATGTCACACTTTATGACAACATTCTTTCTTTTGCAAGTTGATGATTACTTATATTAACTGAATTCAGAGCAAGCTTGTAGATCTCAAACACATATACCCTCCTTTGCAGGAACGTGACAAGCTTTTGAGATACAGGAAACAGAGAAAGAAATTTGCTAAATTTCCCAAGGTAAGAGAATAAATGGGTTTTTTTAAGTATTATTTTAACACATATCGCCTTGTCCTTGATGTCCTTAGGCCAAATGTCTATCAGGCCCAATATTCTGTTTCTAGCAGTGCTCAGCCAGTTGCCTTCTGAGCAGAAGAAAGAAAACATCTTATTGTTTGGCTCTAACAGCTGGCTTTCAGAAGTATTCTGGCTCTAAACTTGTATATTTTATTTAGATAATATATCTGCAATCAGTTCATAAAACCAATCACAACAGCCTTTCCTAGTAAGGTACTCTCGAGAAATTTTGGACTACAGCTCAGAGATAATGGGCACCATATAGGGCAAGGCAGAACCACAATTACAATGTAGAGTAATATAGATAAGCCGAACAAAAATTCAAGTCACCTGTTCCAAAATTTTACAGTCATATAAATTAAACTTAATCTTAAATTATCCAGATAAATTTTTAAAGTTTTAACTGAAAATACAGTTAGAAGGCCTTCCAACTGTGCCTTGTTTTTTAATCTGAGAACAAAAAACTAAACAAATTAGTTGGATCTATTTAGTCATACTTAGAGAAGACTTATTGAAATCATTTTTCCCAAATGCAATCTGTTTGTACAAAGTGCTGCAAAGTTTTTAAATGGGAATAGTCACTGTCTAACCTTCAGGTAGGATGCCATCCATTTCAAGTTGTGCTTTGGGAAAGGTAAGCAGTAAGCTGCTCACCCTTGAAAATGAATCTAATAAAGCTGACAACCTTGGCTATTCTAGATTAATATTGAAACCACTCAAGGATAGCACACAGATCTTTGGAAGACAGAATCAAACCTTTTCTCCATCAACTCCATATACTTCTTTTTAAACAATGGATGTGTCTTCTGCAGTCCAGGAAGAATTATGGGGAAAGAGGACAGAGAACCAGTACAACATTTCTTGATGACCAAGAAATAGTACTCACCATGGATTATACCTGACAATCAGGCATAATCAGGCAATGCAGCATTCATCTGGCAAATCTCCCAAATTTCCACCCCCCCAAAATAATAAATTAGCTAAGGTTAATTAAATAGCATTGCAGTAGTTGGCTTGCATTGTCAGATCTGCTTATCTTAGCTGCTTTTACTTACACAATGTCATTTGGTCAGAAGCCAGTGGTGGAGACATTTTTCGGGTATGACGAAGAAGCTTCGCTTGAGTCTGATGGTTCTTCTATCTCATATCAAACTGACCGTACAGATCAAACACCCTGCACACCCGAAGATGACTTAGAAGAGGTAATTTGTGGCATGTATAATATTTGAATTCAGTCCTCTGGGTCAGATCATAAGATAGGGGAAAGCTGCATAAATTTGTAATATTACATGTAATGAACATGACTATTATTGCTATTTGTTAAAGCACTGCATTTTTCTACAAACCAATCATGGAAATGTTTTGTCATTAGTGGATTAGTCTAACTAGGGGCAAATTTCATTACTATTTTTAAGTCTGTGTATGGAAATGTTTTGAAAACAAATCTTGCATTTGATGAAGAGATTGATTTGTAGTTTCGGTTATGCCATAATACTTTTGTTAGTCTTCAAGATTCTACAGGAATCTTTTTCTAACTTCATTTCTCTTTAGAGAGAGAGACAGAGACAGAGAAATTGAATCATGCTTCATGGGACAATATGGTGAAATCCATAGCAATTGCAAAAGTAATTTGTAAATCTATCATAGTATTATTTTATAGAGAAGACTTGTATTGCCATTTACAGGTGCCATTTATTTGCTTTGTCAAGAAAATGATATAACCTGTAATCATTTGTTTTGTTTTGACATACTGCCTTTTGTTGCATTTCACTTCAGGGCATGGCAAAAGAAGAAGCAGAATTAAGATTCCGGCAGTTGACAATGGAGTATCAAGCTTTACAGAGGGCCTATGCTCTATTGCAAGAACAAGTTGGAGGAACATTGGATGCAGAACGAGAAGTTAAGGTCTAAATGGCTTATACTACATGAAACTAAAGGCTTGTAACTACATGTTTCCTCCTAAGCCCTGTGCAAGCATTCAGCTTGTTGACACAAGTAATAAAAATATGGTGGGACAAGAATACATATGCACAGCAGGGGTCATGACTACAGGGAGGCTTGTAAGTGCAATCAGCCAAATACACTTTCAGTTCCCCTTCAGTCCTTAACATAGAAATATAACAACATAGCAAGTCAGAAGGGATCTCCCAGGTCATCTAGTCTGACCCCCAGCTCCAGCCAGTTCCACTCATGTAATCCCCAACATGTGGTTGTCCAATCTTTCCTTGAAAACCTTCACTGAAGGGGCCCCCATCACCTCCAGTGAAAGTCCATTCCATATCCTAGGGTTCCTAACTGTCAGGAAGTATTTCCTGACATCCAACCTGAAACCCGGTTCCTTCAGCTTTGCCCCATTGGACCATACCCTTTCTTCCACCACAGGGAAGAACAGGTCATTACCCTCTACAGCGCAACACCCCTTCAACATACCTCTATGTTGCTGTGAGATCCATTCTGAGTTTTTTCTCCAGGCTGAAAAGACCCAGCTCTCCTAATGTCAACTCAATATGGCACTACCCTCCATCCAGCTATCACCCTTGTGACCTTGCACTTAATGTATAAAGGTCTTTAGAGGAAACTAAAGCTCTTTCCTATATACACCTTACATGGTTGAGCCCTCACATATGTAGATGAAAACCTGCATAGGGCTTTGTTGCTAGTCGCAAAGTTGTGTCCAACCCATCGCAACCCCATGGACAACATTCCTCCAGGACTTCCTGTCCTCCACCATCCCCCGGAGTCCACTTAAGCTCATGCTGACTGCTTCAGTCGCTCCATCTAGCAACCTCATCCTCTGCCATCCCCTTCTTCTTTTGCCGTCAATTGTTCCCAGCATTAGGCTCTCCTCCAGTGAGTCCTTCCTTCTCATTAGGTGGCCAAAGTGTTTGAGTTTCATCTTCACTATCTGGCCTTCTAAAGAGCAGTCAGGGTTGAGCACAGGGCTTTAGACTTGGTCTTATAAAAGGCACACCAGATTCTTTGTGTGGGAGAACTAAAGGACATTCCTGAAGTTAAGACTTGTTAAACTTTTATGTTTCTTTACTTGAGCAAAGGGCATGAAACATTATATTATATTAGGCCCCTCTTCTGATGTGACCTTAGTAGTGTCAGGACCTGATTAAGCAAATATAAAAGTCCTCTGTAGGTATCTACACATTGGGTAAGCCCATAATTCCACTAAAATTAAGCATCACTAAGGCCGTAATCCTATATCTATTAAGATTATTTCTAAAGAGGTATGTATAGATTTGTGTGGTAAGTCCTTTTAAAAGCAAAGGATGACTCTTTGTTTTCAGTGGAACTCAGTCCTTACTAACATCAGCAGGAACAGGTTCGGCTATTGCAGAAATGTTTGGAAAATCGAAAGCCCTGTTTACACATTCATATTCATGATGAATGCAGTGGGATGATGCAGGAACAATGAAACCCATCTGAAGACAGACAAACCATTTGAAAAGATGCTTGAGATAGAAGCCAGCAAATTCCAAAGTGAAATAGCCAGTGATGTCCTTTAAGCATTGGTAAAATGCTTTTCCATTACCCCAACCTTGTTCAAACAGAGCTGCTTGGCTACAAACCAACTGAAATTTCTAGAAATTTCTCTATGAAATGCAATTTAGTGGTCTATCTTGGCAGTTGGTACTGCAGGTGGCACAGTGGTTTAAATCGTTGTGCTGGTAGATCAAAAGGTTGCCGGTTCAAATCTGCACAATGGGGTGAGTTCCCGTTGCTCCGTCCCAGCTCCTGCCAACGTTGCAGTTTGAAAGCATGCAAATGCAAGTAGATAAAAAGGTACCGCTTTGGTGGGAAGGTAACAGTGTTCCATGCACTTCGGTGTTTAGTCATTCTGGCCACATGACCACGGAGTCTGTCTGCGGACAAATGCTGGCTCCCTCGACTAGGAAATGGAGATGAGCACCACCCCCTAGAGTCAGGCATGACTGGACTTAATGTCAAGGGGAAATCTTTACCTTTACCTTTATCTTGGCAGTTACCAGAGCATGGAGTAGCTGGATACAGGAGCATCTGCAGCTAGCTCTGTGCCACTGAGCACACTCTACCCGAGCTTACCTGAGCTATTAGCAGCAGAACTGGAACAATTATTTCCTCTTCTAAGATGTATAGTCCTATCCAAAGGGGATTGACCATCTTCTCCCTAGACAAGGCACTCACTAACAGTATCCTAAGGTATCTTGAGGTCACAAAGCAGCTGTTGGTACTGAAAGCTCAAGTTCAGACTGAACTTAAAAGAGCTTCAGTGTGTTATTCCTGTTTTTTTTTTTTTTAATCTTCTTGCACCACTGTCTTCTTCTAGTTGTTGGTGAAAAATTATTTTAGAGAAGGTTTATGGGAATGAGGGTGAGTGGGGAGGAAGTTGTTTAATATGTGGTCTTTTCATAACATTTGCTATTAATGCATAATGCACCCATAGTACCATCTCAAATGCAACATGCCTTTAAGGGCTTTCAAACCAATCATATTTTTCAATCTTATGCTGAAAAGTGCGTTACTGAAGAAACTATATCTACTGCATTTTAAAATATATAGAGATACTCATCAGATTGCAAAACAAGAACGGGTAAAACTTTAGCATGAAATTCCTTTGCTATGAAAATCCTTAGTAATATCCTTTGAATATAAAATGCCAAATGAAATTAATGAGATTATATTTTCAACAGATCACATTTTTTAGAATATGTGTTTCATAGTAAAATTGTTAGAATTTTTAAAATTCTGTTCTGCCTTCCTTGAGATTAACTTATAACAACAAATAATAAAACCTTATATTTCTGGAACAGCATGACTAACTAGTTATTACAATAAAAGTTACAGGAATTATTCTCACCCTGCTCAGGCAAAAATATCTCAACCCTGGACATGACTAGAGAATACTGACAATTTCCCATCACTCCATGATCCAAAGAGAAGACAATCCTTGCACACTTTTGGGATATTATATACTTCAGCAGCAACAAACTTATGCAAAAGTTCTGAAAGTAAAACATTTTGCACCAACATAGTATCCTTTGTATGAAAGCCACAGACTTGAAGCAATCTATAGGGATTTCAAGGATTTAATCTTCATGAATTCAAAAACAAACTGAATTGTGATTCACAATGTGCAAGATTAGAACTTACTCATTAACTGGTTTCTTCCAAAGCATATATTCCAATAGATTCTAAGCTCGAATACATTCAATAATTCAATGTAGGTAGATATTAATTATTCAAAAGTTTGTGAAGATTTTGTAGATTTGAAGAATTATACAGGAACCAAATGGAAAAGAAATGTGAATGAGTACAGGAGGAGGCTATCAATAGCTACTAGCCTTGCTGGCTGTGTGCTACCTCTGTTATCAAATTTGATCAGCAGACAGTTCACCCCTTCTTTCATGTCGTTGATGAAAGATTAAACAGGATCTGTCCCAGGACAGAACCCTGGGGGACCCTGCATGTCACTGCCCACCATCCTGATGATTCCCCACTAATGGTTACCCTCTGCTTTCAGTCAGTCAACCATGCCCTAATCCATTGGAAAGTGCTTGGTCTATCCCAAAACTCCTCAGTTTCTCAACCAGGATATCATGCGGCACTTTCTCAAAGGTCTTGCTGAAATCAAGGTAATCCACATCCACTGCATCCCCTCCATCTAGCCATCTTGAAACCTTGTCATAGAATTCCAGAAGGTTTGTCTGGCAGGACCTGTTATTGCGGAAGCCGTGTTGTGTGGCCGCCAGCCTCCCTTCCCTATCTAGCATCACAAGATCTCTCGCTATGATTTTATTTATTTATTTATTTATTTATCGATTGCTATCCTGCCTTTTCCCTACAAAGGGCTCAAGGCAGCTTACATCCTCCTCCTCCTCCATCGTATCCCCACAACAACAACCCTGTGAGGTAGGTTGGGCTGAGAGTCTGTGACTGGCCCAAAGTCACCCAGTTGGCTCCATGGCTGAGTGGGCACTAGAATTCAGATCGTCTGAGTCCCAGTCCCATGCTCTTAACCACTACACCACACTGGCTCTCCAGTAATGTGCCTTTCCATTGTTTTTCCTACAATGGACATAAGGCTAACTGGTCTGTAATTCCCTTCTACTACCCTTTCTGAAAATTGGGACCACTGAGGCCACCCTCCAGTCCTCTGGAACTTCACCCGTTCTCCACAAGGCCTCAAAAATGGAGGCCAGCTGGCGTGAGAGAACCCCTGCCAACTCTCAGAGTGCTCTCAGGTGTAACTCATCAGGGCCTGGCACCTTTCTAATGTCCAATGCCCTGAGGAGCCCCTCAACTTCTAGGGGGGGTGACTCTAATGTGTGCCCCTAAGTCCCTGGCCTCATCTAATCTCCCATGTGAATCTTCCCTGTCCTGCTTTGGGGAGAACACAGAGGCAAAATAGCCATATAGCATCTGTGCCTGTTCCCCCGCATCAGTCACTGGATCCCCTTCCTCCTTATTTAGTGGTCCCATGGCTTGTCTCCCCTTCCTCTTGCTATTTACATGCTGATAGAAGCCCTTTTTGTTGTTCTTGATATTCTTGGCAAATCTCAGCTCATAATCAACCTTAGCCTTGCAAAGAATCCTTCTGCAACGGGCCTTCTCCTCCCGGTATACCCATTTGTCTATTTGCCCCAGTACCCATTTCCTACCGAGGTTTCTCTTGTGTCTAATCCCTCTTACCATCTCCTTTCACTTCCATGGCGGCACTCTCCTCTGGCTTCCCGCCTTACTAACTGGAGGTATCGTCAAGGCTTGCACCTCCAAAACCTCCCTTTTGAGCGCCATCCACCCCTCCTCAACTCTCTTGCCTTCCAGTAACCTATCCCGGGAGACTTTTCCCAGTCTGGCCTTCAGTTGGCCAGAGTTGGCCTTCTTGAAGTCCCAGCTTCTAGGGCTTGACCTGCTGCACATCCCCATTCCCCTGAACTCAAAGCAAAGGATGATCACTCGCATCCAGAGCTCCCCTAATCTGTACCTCATATATCAGTTCCTCCCTGTTGGTCAAGATCAAGTCAAGGATGCCCCCCCCCCCCACATCACCTCTCAGACTCTCTGCATGAAAAACCCTCCCTCTATACCATCTAGGAAGCGACGTGACCTGGCTGTCACCAGTGAGTGAGTTTCCCAATTAATATCCGGGAGATTGAAATCTCCCATAGTTACCGTGTCCCTCCCCCGAGTTATCCTTAGAATCTGGCCTGTCAGGACATCATCCAGGGTCTCAAGTTGACCTGGAGGGCAATAATATACCCCCACTGTCAGGTCCCTCTCCCTGTCAAAACCTCTTAGTTTCATCCAGACTGCCTCTACCAAATCCCCATCTGCGCTGCATTCTATCTCACTGCATCCTATCCCTTCCCTGACATATAAAGCTATGCCCCCTCCCCTCTTTCCCTTCCTGTCCTTTCTAAACAGATGATACCCCTCTATGTTTACATTCCAGTCTTGCCTTTTATCCCACCAAGTTTCTGTGATCCCTACCAGGTCATACCCTCCTATTCCCAAGAAAGCTTCAAGCTCTTCCTGCTTCTTACCCATGCTCCTAGCATTGGTGTACATGCACCTCAACTCCTTCCCACAGCTTCCTTTGTGTGGAATCCCCAGCCTCCTCCTTCCTTCCATCTTCCCTGATACCAACCCCCTCTTCATAGGAGTCCTGTCAGGCCCTGCAGTACCTCTAACACCCTGGTTCCAGAGCCCTGATCCTCTCCCCACGCTTGTCCAGTGTGGACAAGTTTCTGTGGGGCCTGAACGCCCCCCCCCCCCAGCTCAGTTTAAAGTCTTCCGGACAAAGTTTGCTAGAGCATTTCCAAAGGAACTTTTCCCCATCCTCGTGAAGTCCAACCCATCCCTTGCCAGAAGTCCATTGGCAAGAAATTGGATGCCATGGTCGAGGAACCCAAGGCATTCCTTCTTGCACCACACCCTAAGCCAGTCGCTCACCTTGGTGACCCTACTTTCCCTGCCTGGGCAAAATCCCCAGAGCAGTAAGAGAAGGCCATATGGGCCTTTTGGTCCCTGAATTTCTTTCCCAATGTCTCAGAGTCCCTGGTGATCTCGACCACACCCTGTCTGGCTATGTAACTTGTCCCTACATGGATCACCTGAAGAGGATGAGAAGGTGTAGGTTGGTTAGAGAAGTTCTCAAGTTGTTTGAGCATGTATTTTCTACCAATTTTCAGCAAGGATACAGTACATATGATTACATGTGACCTTTTATTAAATTCATTACCTGTGATCCTGGGAATGAAAAAGATGCACCATTGGAATAGCTGTTCAGAAAGCTACAGCTGTCCCTAAGATGTGTTCAGTTCATACATTCATACATTACAGATTTCTAGGAAATGTGTCCCTTAAAGGTAGATAGTATCTTTTGACCCCCACCCCCTGATCTATGTGAAAATACAAATAGCAACTCAGACCATCTGAACTTGTGGATAGATATTTGGGCGATTACACTGTCTCCTCTTAGGCCCTTCAAATGGGTAGAACTGGATTGTACTTTAGCACAACAGTTATCAGAGAAAGTTTGACATTTCTTCAATCCCATCCTACAGACTCGTGAACAGCTTCAAGCAGAAATCCACAGATCCCAGGCTCAAATAGAGGACCTAGAAAAGGCACTTGCTGAGCAAGGACAGGTAATATTCTCTGCCCAAATGAATAATTTCAGTGCAGTCTTCAGTATTAGCTTAAAAAGAGTGCCACTATAAAATGATTGGATTATGTTTGTACAGCAGAGACATGTGGCCTCAGACATACATATTAGCTGGTATAGCAGTGAGTTTAAGCTCAGACTAAGACAGAAGGTGCTGATTAAAGAGAGGAGAATGGGAAGTTTCATGCATAATACCAAATCAAGGCCTGGTGCTATATGCAAGAGCAGAAAGGAGCTTTGGGCTCGAACAGAAGGTGTAGTGCAGCCAAAACACTAACATTCTGTTTTCTTTTGCCTGACTTCTGGCAATTGCTAGCGAATTGCTAAATAACCATGGATTGATTAGTTGACTTGGTTTACAAATTTGGCCTCTATTTTAAACCACAATTCCTGGTTCACACAAAATGACAGACCAGGCAAGTAGCAAATAGAATGCTGGTTTATTCCTTTTTCTGGCTGCAGGGGCTGTATATAGAAGTATGTGGATGCAAGGCTTCACTTCAGCTCCTAGCTGCTCATGCATGGCACATTAAATTATGGTTTAACATTATGTGCTAATGAAGCCAATCACTAGTCAGTATATTGATTTATTGAAAATATGTTCAGTTTTCTCTTAAGGCAGTTTAGGAAGGGAAAATTTAAAACCAAATCTGAACATAAGCAACATAAAACCATAACCACAGACCTCTTCGCATGTTCCTTGCTATAGGTTCAACATATCCTAGCCCTGCTGTCTGGACAGCTATCAGACCCATCCCAGTTTTGGCATGCTGGACACAATTAATAGCCTTAGCTAGGCATTATCCTCTGCACCAGGGCTAAGTCTGGCCATTGGAAGCTGCAGTGTTCCCACCAGCAGCCATACCTTTCCCACTGTTGCTACCACTGCCAGCAGCATGGTGGCAAATCTCTCTCCTTTGGAAGCAAAATCACACTTCCAGGAACATGATTTTATTCCAGCCAAAGTGGGAGCTCCTAATCTACCTACTTTTCAAGCAAAATTGCTGCTTTTTCATCACTGCTGTGACAGTGGCAAATTCAGTGGTAGTGGCAAGGGACACAACAGTGAGGACTGCAAAAAGGTCAGGGGCTGTATGTTGCCTATCACTGCTTTATGTGACCATAACACTGGTCTACAAGAAGAAAGCCTCGGAAAAGAAAGCAGCTAAATTTTACCAGAATTGGGTCACTAATAAAGGAAAATTAAGTCCTGAGTATTAATTGGCCCATTTCCAAGATACAGTTTCAGGTCAAAATTGCATCAAAAATAATTTGTGTGCGATTAAGCTCCTTAACTTTTCTGTAAAATGTGATATAGCAATGAGAATGGTCATTTGGTTCACTCTGTGAAATTAGATGTGGTTCAGGAGGAGCATACAGTGGGCTAAAGTTTGGGTCCGCTGACATTGGGTCCGCTGACATTGATGGCCCTGGATCAGCTGCATCCTGTTCATCTTCTTTATCATCACCTGAGTCTAGAAAGTAGTATTCTGGTGGATCCGGAAATGGCAGTCCTCAGCATGGGGTACAAGTTGCACTGCAGATGGAATGTTTGAATATTCCAGAGTCCAGTTCTTCTTTCTTGAGATCCCTTTTGCAAATGGGGGAACCATGCCAAAATAGCAGTCACTGCTATGATTGATGGGTTCCCTTCACACCACTGGGACTGCAAAAGGCATGGACTTTTTCTTCTTGTTTAGCCAATGACACAGATAAATTGCGCATGTAAGCCAACAATAATGAGGGTCCCAACTCTTGTCCTGATCCCCTATTTTGCATCCAAAATATAGGTGGTATGCCTTTTTTTTAACCACTGCTATCGTACTGCCCTTTTGAGATGCAAATGTAGCCTTGCCACAAATGTAGCAGAAGTTATCTGTGTTGTTTACACAATTTTGAGGCATCTTTGTGTCTGAGGTAAAATATCACGCAACTGTTCCTTGGAAATGTTAGGCAATGACACTTCCACAAGCCACCAGATGTAACTGTATGATGCGTAGATCTGACCAAGACAAATGTACCTTTCAATAAAAGAACAATAAATTACAGTTTGGCAATAACCTTTAGTCTCAAAGTGAAGATAACTTTATACACTTCCATGTGGTACCATTTTCATTGTTCTACCATACTCTGTCAAGAAGTTAGGAGGCATCGCGATCATCAGACACCTCCCTCCCTTGTAGGCAAATATACTCACCTGTGCGTAAATCTTTATTGTGAAATATCTTGAAAACTTTAGCCAACCAGCACCTTTATCACCTGTTTTCTAATTCAGCTAAACAAATAGGTAAGAATTAGCACATTTTATCTTGGAAATTATCTCGCTAATTTCCCAAAATTTGTAGACCAGTGTAATTACATGAAGAATTAGGTGGGGTGAGCCCTTCTGTTGCATCTTGTTGACTCAGTCTTCCACCTTCCACAGGGGAAGAGTCTGAAGAGAGGAGCCTGTTCTACATGAGTAGGCTTCCCCCCGAGACTTAAATCATGCAGATTTCTAAATCACTTGAGAACCTTTGCCTTTAGACTAGACTGCCCTCTACAGACCTTCTCTGAATGTGTGGACAGCAGGGGGATAGTCAATAGGAGATACAAGTCTGCAGCCAGCAGGCATAGTCCGGCTGTGTTCTTTCATGCAGTGAAGACCATTTGAAAGACAATCCCCACACAGCACTTAAGAGAGACCTCTGAGTGTGCAGAGCCTTGTGCACAGAATTTGGAGTCCTTACTTGCATTTCTTATGCCTGGAGGCTCTCAGCTGTGGTTAGTTGCTGCCTTCCATACACTGACTATGTGGCAAGATGTGTGAGCCAAAGGCTGCAGTCAAGAAACAGTATTTAAACAAACCCAGGGTCATCCTATGAAGTGAATTGTGGGAGCTTCAGGACAGATAAAAGAAGATTGGGATTAATTTCCACAAGGTTTGGTGATTACCATAAATTTGGATGTCTTTAAAAGGGATTGGACAAATTCGTGGAGGGGAAAGCTAATAGCTATCACTATTAGACCTGATCGGATATATGCTGCCTCCAGTACCAGAACATGTTGCTGGAAAGATGGGCAGGAGGGTATTGTTCTACCCATGTCTTGCTTGTGGGTTCTATGAGCAGTTGGTGGGACACCATCTAAATAGATTGTTGGACTAGATGGACCTTTGGTTGGATCCAGCACCATCCTTCTTAAGTTCCTGATTAAAATAAGACACAGGGAAAATAATAGTCATTTCTTGACACCAAAAGCGTAATAGCACCAGGGAGGCAACAATGGAGTGTGTTGCTACTGAAAATGTCAGCAGACAAGGCAGCCAGAGAAAGTCTTCAGAGAGAGAGCTCAGTGAATAGACAGGTTCATGGGGAAGAAGGCTGTCTTTCAAATTTCATAGCTCCAAGTCATTTACAAACATCTACGCCAATACCAGCATGCTCCATTGTACCTGGAAATCAACAAGAACCAGTACAAATTTCTTAGTATTATGTTCATAACCATAAGACCCATTGTATCCCAACCTCTGGGCCTTCACTGGTTATACAACAGTCACTTAGTACTTCCAAGGCAACCTAAAAAGAACAGAAATATTTGTCCTGGAGCTACGCCTTGGAAACAATAAATCTTTGTTGTATTAGTGGTGGATTCCGATAATGCAGTGGAATTGGCAATACCCATCTCATGGAGAAGGAAATCTGCAGGGACTGGATACTAACCCTTTGTGGCCTTCCAAATGTCACTGGAATGCAACTCACATCAGCCTAGCTCCATAGTCAATTATGGACACTGTAGTCCATCAAAATCTGGCAGACCACATAAGTTAGCAGCATATGAAAAATCATACCCTGATCTTTAGGCTTCTGCAATCAGAGTTTCCTTTTTAAGAACTGGAGGAAATTATTGTTGAAACTACTCTTGACATCATCTCCAGACCAATTTTCACAAGGCCTACTCTCATACATAGTCCAAACATCTGACTAATTTATGTTTTTTCTTGATTTGATATACTCAGCTGTCCTTGAACAAGCTGAGTCTCACAATGTATTTCACCATGCCTAGCTTGATTTTGATCATATATTGTGAGGATACCTCAATGTTTAATTTCTTTCATTTAAGTTTCATTTTCTAATATGCCAAACTACTCACAATTCTTGGATTCTGGCATGTCTGGTATTTGCAATGATAGTAGTTGCTGAGGTTCATCCTATTCTTCATGCCAACTTTTGGTGTTTTGTTGTCTCAGTGCTCCTGATCCCATCCATGTGCATTCAGCATATAATTAAATGAAGAATATGTCACAAAGAGGTCAAACTCCACTCCACAAACAAATAGCAATTTTACTGCAGCACTGCTGAAAAAAAACAATTATGTATGGTTGAAAAGGCAGGTCATCTGTGGGTGTGGAAGCACCCATCACGAAGTCAAGAAGCAAAGGTCTTGCTGTGCTCACAGTTCTTTCCTATATATGCTTTCTTTAGATCTCTGTCAATGTTAGAGATTTTTAACATTACTAATTCTTGCCAGCTCTTTCTATAATATCAGTTCTTTATCTTTTAAGGACATGAAGTGGATTGAAGAAAAGCAAGCATTATACAGAAGAAACCAAGAACTTGTAGAAAAGGTATACCACACACACACAATGATTCTATATGAAGTATGAAAATAAGTAAGCCTTAATATGTGATGTAGGAATAGGGAAATTAACACTTCCAGACAATGCTTGAACTTAATTGGGATTTAAGCATTAGGGTTTAAAAAAAGAAACCTTTTTCCCAATCCAGAACACAATAGATTGTAGAACAGTCTACCACAAGAAATAAAGCTGGTGCTTAAATGAGTCCAGTGAAGAAGTAGACAACTTCTTTGTCTGTACTATTTTAATCCTGAAGGCTAAAATAAGAGGGAAGTCAATATGCAAATAGATGGTTAACTACTGCCAAGATTTAGCCTTTATATGTTGTTCAGACCATTTCATAAACATTATCTCTGTAGTACAGTGGTACCTCAGCTCACGGATGCCTCAGTTCACGAGCAAATTGGGTCGCTAACAGAAATTTCAGAAAAATGTTGCCTCAGTTTGCGAACTCCCCATTGGGTGATGACCATGATCACAGCCATGTTGCTGCACAAGCACAATCGTGATTGTGCCCATCTTCCCTGCACAAGTGTGCCCACAATTGCACCTGTCTTCCCTGCACAAGTGCAATCGCAATTGTAGCCATCTCCTCCCCTGAGCATGATTGCATTTGTGGCAATCTCCCCCCACCCCCAAGCATGATCACTATTGCACGATTATGGTTTGGACTCTCCCTCCAAACAATAATCTCCCTCCCACCTAGGTTAGTGTTCTCTACTGTACTGTATGTGGTTACTTTGTTGTTCTTTGTTACTTTGTTTCAAATTTTTGAGATTTAAAAAAAAAATACAGAACAGATTAACCTTAGTTACATTGAACCTTATGGGGAAATTTGACTTGGCTTGCAACCAATTCGTGTCGTGACCAGAATCGTGGAATGGATTAAGTTCATGAGCCGAGGTACCACTGTACATAGACATTATCTCTGTAATACTTGCATCATACTTTTAGCCTTCAGGAATAGAATTGTGTAATCAAAAGAGAAGTTGCGGAACATTGTATCATGCAAAATTACAGAAATTAGTACCCCTTTGCTTTTCCAGATAAAACAATTGGAAGTAGAAGAGGCTCGGTTAAAGCATGATGTTCAGGATGCTAAAGATCAAAATGAACTCTTGGAATTCAGAATACTAGAACTTGAAGTAAGTATGGGTCAAGATGCTCATAATGAGTTTCCCTCTCACCATGGTCTGTGTGAAATGGGTAAGCATAGATGTGAAAAGAGCAGAGTATCATATATCTCTGTTGTTACAATGACTTCAGAGTGAAGCAAGAATGACCTCTCTATGCTGATGACAATTGCTATTATTCTCAAATGACTGGGTGTCAAATATTGGGCTGGTTTTCAGGCCATACTAAAGTACAGTTTAGCATAACATGGATGAACTAAAACAAACCTCCTTCCCCACATCAGTATAGGGGTGAACTTAGAAGTTCTTGCACTCATTATGACACTCCTAGTAGCTACTCCTCCAAAGAGAGTCCAAATATGTAGGCGGCTGTGTTGTCCCTGTCAACCAATGAATTCTAGCAGTTTCATTTCCACTAGGAGCAGGCCTTATGTAAAGCTGATGGTTCTTAATTGCACATTCAAGACTAAGCCACACCCAAAACTGCTTTACATTGTGATAGGGAACTTTATATTGTTTGGGGGAAAGTCATTTCTCACCAGCTACTGTGAGAATTGGAGCTAAGCTCAGAAAAAAAGAAGGAAGTTTGGGTGTAGAAGGTGGCAGATAAAGTCAGTGTCCCTGCTAAAAAGAAAGTATCATTCGTGCATCCCTGCAAACCCTGGTTCCACTACACTCCTGGCCATCTCCTCTTTCTACCTAACTCAGAGGAGTAGCAGGAAAGCTGTTATTGCATGTTTAGCTAACGGCTATACATTCTTTCATTCTAACCAATAAACTGGTGGTGTTGGTGGTGGTGGTGATAATGAATTTCATTTCTATCCTGCCCCATAGCTGAAGCTATCTGGGTGGTTTAGCATTAACTTGTTAATATTAACATGGTTAACATTAGCTGCAGTTATTTAAAAAGCAACATCTAAACATTCTGAAAGGCATGTAACTGCTCTATATCCCAAATCATATATACATTTTGATCTGCACTGAATGAATAATATGCCCTGCATCTAAAGAAAAAGGTGAGAATCAGTTATACACAGTTTGAACAGCAATGCACAATAAGCCTATGAACAAAAGAAGAATCATAGAATAGTAGAGCTGGAATGGGCCTTGAAGGACACCATGTCACACCATCCCACTCAGATGGCCATGCAGCCTCTTTTTGAATGTCTCTAGTGTGGGAGAGCCCACCACCTCTGTAGGTAGCTGGTTCCACTGTCGTATTGCTCTGGCAATGAGGAAGCTTTTCCTGATGTCCAGCTTGAATCTGGGTTGTCACAACTTGAATTGATTATTCCATGTCCTACACTCTGGTATCAGCAAGAGATCTTGACCTTCCTCTTTGTGACATCCTTTGAGGTACAAATTCTACATAGTCTAAATATCAATGCACAGTAAGCTGATCAAATGCATATCCAGTTATACAACATTTCATAAACCTTCATGATAGGAATTTTCCTTCATGAAATGTAAAAATAATTTAAAAATCCATATACTAGGATTTAAATATTGCACAACAAACATATTAACAATTGCATGGCCAAAAACATATCCCTATGAAGGACTCAAAACAATTTTCAGATCAGCATGGTGCATCTCTATTTTTTTCTCAAAATAACAATTATGTTAAAATATGCTCACATAGAATCCAGTCAGTATTTAGAAAGTAAGCAGAAGTGAACAAACTTACCCTCAGTAGCCCCATATGACTGCTCTGCAAGGCTGATAGGCCCACTTGAGTGTGCACAGGAGGAATGTACAGGTCCAAAGCATGTGTTGCTTGGTTCATTCCTGCTTGTGCACATCACATTAAAGTATGGCAAGAGAATACAGTCAGTATGTTTGCAGCTTTGTGGCTATGAAGATAATTGTATAAGGAACTAATGCATGACCATGACCTCTGTCATGTTAAGTCGTCTCCATTTCTGCCCCCTTTGCTACATTTGTGGACATTCCTGTTATAGAAACAGTGACTTTTGTACAGAAATGTCATGAATGATATTATGAGTCTGCTCACCATACCAGCCTGATGCTCCCTGCATGTGGTATAGCCCTACTGCAGTGATCATTAGTGCATATTAACTCTGTAGTTCAGTCTCCCTCGCCCTGCCATTACTATTTAATACAGGTACCAGATTCATGGAGGGTGAACTGCAGAAATGTAATGTTTATATGTGAGGTATCTCTTCCAGACATCTCTTTCTTAATGAAGCTGATGCCCTGATGCTTATGCAACACCCTTTCTGAATGACTGATTTCATTGCAGGAGAGAGAAAGAAGATCGCCAGCTATCAATTTCCATCACATTCCTTTTACTGAGGGGAAAAGTCCTCTCCAGGTCTACTGTGAGGCAGAAGGTGTGACAGTAAGTAACTTTCTGTTAGTCACTGTTTCTAAACATGCAGTCATGCCTTATTCTTCTGACTTTCTGTTCCTTATGTGCCTTTCTCTTTTTAGGATATACTAGTAGCAGAGCTGATGAAAAAACTGGACATTTTAGGGGATAACGCCGTAAGTGTATGTTCCTTTAATAAATTGTGCATGTTTCAGTTAATATGTTTTGTCCAGTTGGCACTAAACAGTTCCAAGAATGCTTCTAATTGACTGCTATTCTTTATTCTTACATTTTGATTGGAAAAAGCATTGGCTATAAGCCAATATTTGCATGTTGTTAGCATATATGCCAATGAGGTGGTGCAAGATAGTTCACATGTTGACATTGTGTTGCAGGGTGCCTCTTTCATGTTATCTTCCTTTCTTTAATTTATTTATTACGGAAGTAACAATGGGAATGCATAAGAGTGGGCACACAGGGTTTTTTTTTTCAAGTGCTTTCCCACTCTTTGCTTCTCTTAAAAATATTGATAATAATTCTGCAAATTGAAATTTGTAATTTCTAATAGGCATGTCTACATTTACTTAAATTAAACATTATTTATTTAACAAAACTTGCACCAGATAATGTTGCATAATTTACTATTTTCTGAGGTGGTTACTACACAAGTGAATTCTACTGATTAACTTATTGATTTATTGAGAGATGATCCAAACAGAGATTTAAAGAAGATTTAAGTGCCTGGGTAAACTCTTGGATTTAACATGAATCAAACATGTTTATATTTCACTTGAATGTGTCTTAGGATATATAGAGTCAGTTATCTATTAAGCTGATATATTAAAATTACAGCACACACACACACACTGAGATGCACACATGTTCACCAGAGGATATGTGTAGCAGCCTGTGGCTATAGGTCACAATACAGAACCCCTTATGTGTGCATAATCTTACAGTGTGGGGACAGAACTAGAATACAAGAAATTTGAACCTTTCCCTTGAAATTCTTGGCAAACCCAATGTGCTAAGTGATCCATCATGTTGAGCTTGCTCAACTCGTACCTGACATAATTTGGCTGTGACTGTTGGCCATGTAAGTGGGGCAGTACACAAGAGAGTGATATTATCTTATGCATTATAGGTACTCAGGTGTTACAAGGAAATATGGCAGGGAAATACAGAGCACAGGCACCTTTGTGTCCCTTGATCAGGTCTAGTGCAGACCTTTCCCCATGGAAAAAAATGTTCTAAGTGCAAGACAAAAAGTATGATAATCTCTGTGGACAGTGCAGGGGTTGGTGGACTATACAACACCAATCCTCCCATTCTGGTGCAGTCCCCATCATACTAGAAACTAGATACTCATGTTTCATCATACTGAAACAATAATTGGGTATAATTTAGATATCACTGGTGTATACAAGGAGAAAGCCTCAGAAATGAAAGTAGCTAAATTTTACCAGACTTGGGTCACTAATAAAGGAAAATTAAGTTCTGGTACCTTGGTTCACGAATGCCTCAGTTCATGACTAAATCAGGTCAAGAACAGAAACTCCAGAAAAATTTTGCCTCAGGTCACGAACTCAATATCAGGTGATGACCAACCACGATTGCGCCCATCTTCCCTGCGTGATTGCGGTCATGCTCAAGGGAGTGGGGAGATGGCCGTGATCATGATTGCGCTCATGCAGGGAGGACGGATGTGATCATAGTCATGCTCAGAAGAGAGGGGGAGATGGCCACTATCACAGTCACGCTCATGCAGGGAAGACGGGCACGATTGCGGTCAGGCTTGTGGGGGAGGTGGCTGCGACCATGCTCGGGGGAGAGACAGCTGCAATCACGGTCACGCTCGTGCAGGGAAGTTGGGCGTGATCGTGGTCATGCTTGGGGAGGAGATGGCTGTGGTTGTACTCGGGGTGGGGGGGAGATGTCCACAATCGCACCTGTCTTCCCTGCCCGAGTGTGACCATGACCGCAACCATCTTGCCTGCCTGTGTGTGACTGTGATTGCGCCTGTCTATGGCCGCGATTGCGGTTGTGCTTGTGCAGGAAAGACAGCTGCAATCACAGTCATGTAAAGGTGGGGGAGATGGCCGTGATCGTAGTTGGGGGGGAGATGGCCACAGTTGCACCCGTCTTCCCTGCCAGAGCACAACCGTGATCATTCCCATCTATGGCCATGATCATGGTCGTCCTCGTGCAGGGAAGACAGGCGTGATCATGGTCATGCTCGGGGAGAGGGGGGAGATGGCTGCAATTGTGCTCAGGGAGGGGGGAATGGCCATGATCTTTGTGGTTCTTTGTTGCTTTGTTGTTCTTTGTCACTTTGTTTCAAATTTTTGTGATTAAAAAACGGTTACAGAACAGATTAACCTAATTTACATTGAACTTTATGGAGAAATTTGACTTGGCTCACGACCAATTTGGGTCACAACCAGAGTTGTGGAATGGATTAAGTTTGTGAGCCAAGGTACCACTGTAATTGGCTCCAGTTTCCAAGATACAGCTTCAGTCAAAATTGCATCAAAATAATTCAAAATTACAAGGGGGATGTGTGATTATGCTCCATAACGTTTCTGCAAAATGTGATATAGCAATAAGAATGGTGCCACACCAATAATTATAAATTAATCTTTTTATTGATACCAATAACATAACTTTCCATTCATTTATTTGCATGGAACCATGGGGGAACCATGCCAAAATAGCAGTCGCTACTAAGATTGGTGGGTTCCCTCCACACCACTGGGACTGCGAAAGACATAGACTTTTTCTTCTTGTTTAGGCAATGATGCAGGTAAGTTGCACATGTAATGCAACAATAATGAGGGGCCCAACTCTTGTCCTGATCCCCTATTTTGCATCCAAAATATAGGTGGCATGCCTTTTTTACTACTGCCATCATACTGCACTTTTGAGATGCAAATATAGCCTCGCCACAAATGTAGCAGAAGTTATCTGCGCTGTTTACACGATTTCGAGGCATCTTGGCATCTGAGGGAAAATATCACGCAACTGTTCCTTGGAAATGTTAGGCAATGACACTTTCACAAGCCACGAGATGTAACTGTATGATGTGTAGCTCTGACCAAGACAAATGTACCTTGCAATAAAAGAACAATAAGTTACAGTTCAGTAATAAACTTTAGTCTCTTCCCCATATGAAGATAAATTTATACACTTCCATGTGGTACCATTTTCATTTTTCTACTGTACTTTGTCGAGAAGTTAGGAGCCATCATGATCATCAGACACCTCCCTCCCTTGTAGGCAAATGTACTCACCTGTGTATAAATCTTTATTGTGAAATATCTTGAAAACTTTAGCCAATCAGCACCTTTATCATCTGTTTTCTAATTAATTTAATAAAAATATGTAAGAATTAGCACATTTTATCTCTGAGGTCAATAATCTCCCATAATTTGTAGACCAGTGTTATACAAACCAGCAAGAGTGAATCATAACTAGGATGGATGAATTGGGCTCTGATCTGTGTCTTTTGTGCATGACTGTATTAAGTTCATTCCTTCCCATTTCCACTTTAATCTGTGTAATAAAATCTTTAAAATCTTTTTAAAAAATCTTTACAGTAATTTCCATTGATAGATACTGTATATTTTTAACATATTAACTCTCAAAATACACATTTCTAAACAGATTTTATCTGAATCTGTTTTTTGAGCTGAGCTGCATTGTAACATTCAAAGAAATGACTGATCTCAAAGGTACTTCTTTATTTAATATATAGTACATTCTGATCCAGACATCCATTTGAAAGTAGTGGATCAAGTCCATTTATATTGGAATTCATAAATAAAATTACTAATCATAATTCCAGTGGAAATTGGGAGTTGACCAAAGTGCCAGGGATTTCAGTAACGATAGCTAGAGTCAGCTCAATGTAAGTGTATAAATGCAAAGTAGAAGCTGTACTTTCAAACAGCATATTTTCCATGAAGTATGCCTGAGCATCATGTCCACTCAGAAGTAAGCAGGACAAGCCCCTGCAGGAAGAAAGGAAACAGGACTTCCTTTCTTCCCTGCTTGCTCTCTGACCCACAGGAAAACAGTTTTATTTCTGATCCAAAGAAGACTGGAGATGTGCTTTCAGCACATGGCAGGGAAACCCCTTATTTCTGATTAACTGCTGCTGTTTCATTACCAGTGATTCAGTGATTTAGCATCCCTAGCAATCATAACAGATGTATATATTATTTGCACTAAAAGCCTTTTAATAATACAGTAATTGCTACCTTTAAATTACAACCAGTCCTATTGTAAGAAAATGCTAGTTTTGCTTTGCGGTTTTCGAACATGTTTAGGTATTCAGTGCAAGAGCAACCTCAGTAATGGAAAAACTTTGAGAATGCTCTGAAAACCATTTTATTCTGCTCTTGCAGAACTTAACAAATGAAGAGCAAGTAGTTGTCATCCAAGCAAGGACGGTTTTGACACTGGCAGAAAAGGTAATGGCACAATTGTTTCCCACTCTGACGGTGATTCACTGACCACTTTCACAGGTATAACTGGTATTTACTCATATAGCACTTTAGTGTGGGAATCTTGTGCTGTAGCTAGTACTTCATCTTTGATTTCCTCTTCAACTCTGTATTCAAATGTGACTTTAAGAACTAGACTACACATTACTTTTCTCACATGGGTGCCAACTGAAATGGAATCCATGTGTTGGATAACATGTAGGATAGCTCTTCAGGTACTGCTGGCTTCCAAGGGAACATTCTAAAGGCACTAGAATGTGCAGCCCAAGATGCTAGCATCCTCTGTCTTGAGGAAGGCCACCTGGTGGCAGTGGCAGGGGGATGGTGGCTAAAGGGGAGGCTGCTTCAAATAGAATCTGCAGAGAAAGGCATCATGTAGAATAGCCCAAAGAATACTTTTCCCAGTGCATAATATAGTATGCACAGCTGTGAATACCATTTTCACTTGAATTCCTTAGAAATGTCTGAAGTGAATAAACTGGTATACATGGACACTTCAGCAAAAGGTTGCAGTATTTTATTTATTTGGTATATCCATTTGGTTGCTTTATATTCAGCCTCTCTACAAGAAAAGAGAGAGAGAGAGATTAGATCCATAAAACAGATTAAAATTGTGAACAAAAACAGAATAGATATAGCATCCAAACCAACTGTCCTACTTATAGGCCAAAGGTCTTCTTGAAGAAAGCAGGCTTTGCAGGCCGGATGGGCTTGGGAGGGAGTGCCACACCCTGGGAGCAGCCACTATAAAGACCCTCTTTCACATGCCACCAAACGCATGTAGTGATGGTGGTAAACTGAAAGAAGAGCTTTGTCAGAAGACCTTAAGGGAAGGTGATTTTTCAGGTAGTGACTACTACCTGAAGTACATGGCGATTACTTCTTTCAAGGTACTGTATTCCTGTGTCTTCTACAAGGGCACTCAGAACTCTCGAGCATCTTAGCATGCTCACTCCTCATTGGCCTGCTTAGAGATTTTCTTTTCTTCCCAAAAGGGTTTTCTACTTCTACAAACCTTGAAGTACCCTGAGCATGGTAATAACTCCCTCTTGTTTCTTAGCAGTCCTGATTTGGCTACCTTTATTCCTAAATCCTACAAACAAAATCTGAACTTGCTGTTAATGTATGTGGTGATCCTTTAAACAGATACTCTTCCTTTATGCATGTGGAAGAACTAATCCAGAGCTCAGGCTGCTGTTATGTCAAGGTAATCTTAGGGAGCAATACACCTCAAAGGAGGTGCCTGCCCTCCAGATTGCCTCAAAAGATTTGGAATCTTTTGCTGGAGTTTAAAGTGCATGGCCAGAAGAACAAGCCCTGCTTTTGCATTCACACAAACATACACAGCACTTAGAAAGGAAATAAAAGTTTATTCATTAGAAAAATATAGACCAGGCAGGCTCAAACTTTTAACCCAATGTTGTCCAGACAGCAAGTATTCCTGTTGCATATTTACTCTATATTTCTAAAGACCTTCCTGCCTAACACACACACACACACACAGAGTCTAACAAAGGGGAAGGGTCCATTACCTGTTCTGCAGCAGTAGAGCTTCAGTTCAGAGTGTGGTTGCAGAGGAGAGAGAGGAGAAGAGCCTCATCTCCAAATCCCTGACCATGTATCTATGGGAAAGATGAATTTCCCAGGCTTATGTTAATTGTGGGAAGGGGTACTTGACTGCTTCTTGATGACTTTTGTTTCTTTGGGCAAGAGGTGAATCCTCTTATTTGTTGGGTGCTATGGACAAAGTAACTTCCAGGTGTCTCAGGGCAATAGGTCTTCCTCCTTGCAGGGTGTTTTGCCTAATCTTTTAAAGGGGGGAAATATCAGACCATTTCTCTGCATGGATTCCAGCATTCATCCATTTCTCACACTGACTAGACCAGGCTACTAGGTCCTTCTTACTGAATTAAGCCTACCCAACATGGCCCATGGTCTACATGCCTGTTCTGGCCTAGTAGTTTATGGTTATGGCACTAATATTGACATTCACACACACGCACAAATGTTAAACTGTCCTTGCTGCATTGAGGCAATGCTATAAAAAAGAGGTGTTGAGCCCTCTTCAGGCCAAGAGCCAAATTCAGTTTCAGAGAAGTTCTTGGGGACAGGCAGACCAAAAGCAAAGGGGGTCAAAAGGGGCAGCAGCAAAATGCCCAAATTGCAGGCATAAATATCGTAATACTCCTACTCTCAGTAACAAAGCTTTAGGAAAGGCATTTCCAGATTTTGAAATAGGTGGAAAATGTGCAAAATCCAGAGAATCACCAAACAATTGGTGGATGGAGGAAAAGTGATGGGGGAGGGATGTGGGCCTCTGGCAAACCTCAGGACAGATTGACACCCAAGTGGGCTGGATTTAGGCACCTAGCCTGAGGTTCAACTCTGTGCTGTAATATCACAGAAGTTACCATTTCCAGACTCAGAGTGCAAGCCTGCCACCTCCCAACATGACTGGGGGTGTAGGGGCACAGGACTATTTGGAGCCACAGCTTTCATGTCCTGTGACTCCAAATCCAGACCCCTCACTGCCCTGCTCCTTTGCAGCCGGCATGGAAAAAACCACGCTGGCTTCCCATCCAAGTCTTGGGGAGGAGGAAAGGGGAATGCTGGGGAGGGAGGCTGGGACTGGTGACTTAGACTGTATCCAAACAGCATGCCCGGCCTCCTTCCTATCCCTCCACAGAACCTGTTCTAGATGGCTGAAAATGCTGATGAAATGCAGGGGGTCACTGCACTTCAATGGATGCATGTGAACCTCCAAGTTCAGAGGCTCACTTGCATCAAGCTTGGAGGGAATTCAGTTGCTCTCTTAGAGAACTTTTTTTTCTTTCTGGCTTACAAACGAGCAGTTTAGCAGTGTATTTGCAGTTTTAGTTTTTCACTGTATGATCAGATATGTTATATGATAACAATAATCAAAGTTAAATGATAACGACTGCCCTTCTGTCAGATCTGTTTATGTGACTTAGAATATGACCTTTCATCATCTCTGTGCAGTGGTTGCAGCAAATAGAAGTCACGGAATCAGCACTACAGCAAAAAATGATAGACCTGGAGAATGAAAAGGTAATGCATTAATTGTTCAAACAAATTGTTCAAAAAAAATCCCATAATTGTGTATGGTGCATACTGAGGCAAGCAGTATAACCCAGATCTTCTTTCTCCATTTAGGAATTATTTAGTAAACAGAAAGGATATTTGGATGATGAACTTGATTACAGGAAGCAATCTTTAGATCAAGCCCATAAGGTAGGTCAAAATGTTCTTGGAGGAAAAGCCCCACATGGACTCAGTACTATGAGCATTTATCAGTGACCATGACAATAAAGGGATTATAAAATCAAGCATGAAATGAAAAATCCTTGCAGACTTTACCTGTTGGGCCCAGAATGGCCTCCTGTATTATCACAAAACAACTTTGTTTAGCATTCCCGGTATTATTCTCAGAAATCTGGCAAATATATGGAAATCTTTTTACATATAAAACAATTCATCCCCTACCTTTAACAATGATAGAGATGAAGAAGAAGAGAGATGCTTTTCCAAAAGTCATCAAGGACTTTTGTTCCATGTAAAATCATTATTTACTAATGCCTAAAGAAACAATTGTATGATCCCCAGACAACATTTAAAAGGTCATAGGAATTTTGGATTCCTCAGTCCAAGGTCTGACCTCAGAGCTGGGAATCAGAGTTCCAACTCCCTCCCCTTTGCAGCTGATGCAGAAGGAATTGCACCAGTTGCTCTCTGAGGTCAGGAAAGTGACCTCGGAGAGAGGGAAAAGGAGAAGTTCTGGTGAGAAGAGAAGATTGGAGAGACTAGGATAAACTATCTATCCTCCTTCCAAGGCCAAAAGTCCATCTAGTGGAAAAAAAAAAAAAAACAGAGTGGGAGACAGGGAAGTGGAAATTGGCTCCACTGCTCCTCCTGCTCTGCATGGGATAAACATAAACTTCTGAGTTCAAGATTGTTCCCTAAAGCTGATAGTTCAGTAGCATGTGGCAGTTTCAAATAGATAATCAAATGAATAGGTAGACAGGGCTGATGTGAAGGACAGGCACGGCTGTACACCTAAAGAGGACCTCCATTCTAGCAGAGACCCACTAACAAGAGCACCCTGCAATTATCCCTCTCCTTCACCTTGCTGCTTGCTCATGCATTGACTCTCACCTTGGCCAGGGTAATAGAGATGGTGAAAAGAAGGAGCAATGGATTCCTCCTCGCTCTCTGGTTTTCTACTTGTTAATCAATCACATTGTAGCAATGATGATAAAAGATGTGGAGCAATAGCAGCTGGTGAGAAAGTATGCGAGAAGCTAGATTGAATGAGGGAAGGTAGCTGCTGAGACTGTCTGGCCCAGTCAAAAAGATGGCTGCCACTAGCCTTGACCCCCCCCCCCAAAAAAAAAGGAGTCCAGTGAATAGAGTTCAAATGGCTCTCTCCCTTCTGCTACCTCACCTGGGTGGGTGCCTGTGTACCTGTGCCTGTGTCTGGAGGGGGTCACCAAGAAGAAAATGAGGAATGATGTCCTCACAAGGCAGTTGTTTAAATTCTCCCCCGCCCTGAAAAAATAAATTCTCTGGGGCATCCACCATGAGTGCCAGAGCCATACCAACAAAGGAGACACTCCCCTAACACCCCCCATCCACCCCCCAAAGAAAATTGCAATCAACCCCCCCATCCCACTCTCAAAAGAAAATGGCAACCAAACCCAAGCCTACCTTTGATTCCCATGTGAAGCCAACATGTGGCTCTACTACACCAAGTAGGAAAAGCAGCCATCCAGAAAAAATGGGTACAGAGAGCTATCTAGTGGCATTGTGCTATAACAAGTGGAAGATGTTTGTACTTCTCTTTAAATGTGACAGATGCAGGCAATTTGCCCTCTTGAAATAAAAGTTGGGAGGCAACCGAGCTAGAATTACCCTCCCTCAAACTGAACAGAAATAATGATGACATACTAGAAGGGCATCATCCTTCTAAAGCAGTGAACTCTATAAGCAAAGAAGCGGGCACCAAAACTCCCTGGGGAAAAGTGGAAAAAGTCACCAGCAAAGTAAATAAAAGACAAGCTGCAACTCAGGAGGTGATGGTATAAATCTGAAATTGCTTCCAAGTACTGGAGGAAGACATGTGAAAATAGCCAACTTTAGAGGAAAAGCCTATTACTCTGCAGAAATCAGTAAAAGAAACTGAAGATCAACCAATCATGAGAGACCAAAGCTTCCAGCAACAATGATCCTAACATACAGAATGCTTCCTAAGTTTTCAACAAGAAAATGGATAGGAAAATCTTATTAGTGGGAAACTCCCCACTACAAGGAATGGAAAAATACATATGCAGAACTAACCCTGAAAAACCACAGGTATGCTGTCTACTTGGAGCCAAGATCAACAACATAAACAGTAATGTTCACAACTCATAAAACCTACTGATGAGTTCCTCTTCTTTCTCATCCATGTGGGAACAAACAACACAACCAAAAGTAATAGAGAGGAAATTATAGCAGTCTTGAGAGCTCTGGTCAGAAAAATTAAGAATGCTGGATTAAAATTAAGAATTAGTCTTCTTCCAAATCTTACCAGTTAAGGGAAGAGGAGATGACAGAGAAAGAAAAATACTCCAAGTAAATACCTGGTTAAGACAGCATTGCCAAAGGGAGAAATTTGGTTTCTGGAACCAAAAGGCAAACTTCTTGGAGGAAGGACTACTAGTAAATGATGGTCTGCATCTCTTGAAGTACAGAAAACAAGTCCATGGACACAAAATGAAGAACCTCATGAGGAGGGCTTTAAACTAAATCAAACAGGGGAGGGAGACATACAAAAAGGCACTACAGTAACAGTAGATCTCTACTAAGAATTAATAACAACTTACCAAAAAAAAAAAAACCCCACAAAAAACACAGAAATAAAAGCAGGTTATAACCCTAGTGAGGTGTGATATTTCTACACCCATGCCCAGAACATGAGTCCCTTGATCAGAGAGGCCTTTTCTTATTAACAGCCATTTTGGTATGGATACTTGCAATTGCTAGGTCTTTGAGGCCACATTACAAACTAGTCCACAAGGCTGCTGCCAAAAGTGGTAGCCCTGCAAATAATTTAGAACAACCTGTCTCACTGAAATGACAACTAATTATATGTAATAGCCCAATTATATGTAATATGTCATGTCACCTGCACCCAGCACCTGAACCCAACACAATTTCTGTACTGCAGTTGATTGTTCATGAACATGCCACCTTAGAAATCCATGGTTCTCTGCAGTAATGGATTATCTTGTCCTCTGAACCCAGAATGTTGACCCAGTCATGGGTTGTCAGTAATGCTGCTCTTGCAAAGCTTGTCCAAACCAGCATCAGTAACAGCCTCTCCACCTTGTATCTCTAAGTCTTTGAAGAGATCCCTAGTCTTTCCCTTTCTATTGTTTTCCTCTATTTTTTGCATTGTTCATTTAAGAAGGCCTTCTTATCTCTTCTAGCTATTCTCTGGAATTCTGCATTCAATTGGGTGTATCTTTCTCTTTCTCCCTTGTCCTTCTTTCCTCAACTATTTGGAAAGCTTTCTCACACAGCCATTTTGCTTTCTTGCACTTCTTTTTCATTTGGATGGTTTTAGTTGCTACCTCTTGTACACTGTTGTGAACCTCCCTCCATAGTTCTTCAGGCACTGTGTCTATCAGAACCTAAGGGCTCATCTTCCAGTGTCATATCTTTTATCGTTATGATTCTGTCCATGGAGTTTTTATGGCAAGGATACTGGAGTGGGTTGCCATTTCCTTCTCCAGTGGATCACCTTTTGTCAGAACTCTCTGCTATGACCTGTCCATCTTGGTTGCCCCTGTATGGCATAGCTTATAGCTTCATTTTGCTATGTAAGCCCCTTCACCACCACAAGGCAGTGATCCATGAAGGGGACTGGATGGGTAGCCATATGGAAATCAACAGAAACTTTTCTCTCTCCTGTTGCCACAGATTCTCATGAAGTATTTTTTTGTAGTTGTACCATCTGGATTATCCCACACTATGGACTTACTTATTTGCAGGTGTGGCCAAGATCCATAAAAGCTTTTTAGTCTCTAAGATGAAATAAGAGAAAATTCTGCAGATAGAATTTTTCTCTCAACCCTGTTTCTGAGGCATCTTGAGGTGTAGGGAGAAATTGACAAATTGTGGTCTTTGGCAATTCAAATATTAGACATTGGTCCCATTCATGTTTAATGCTAAACCATTGTTTAATGGTACATACATGATTCGAAAGAAACCCAGGCAAACCCTCAGATTTCTACACTCCCCCTTCTCCTTCCAGGGGAAGAATGGAATAAATGAGAATTCAGTTTCCCTTTAGCAGATTCCTGGCTTTTTCAGCAGAATCCTGTTTCAGCAGATTTGCACATTTTGGCTGAAGAAAGTGGCTCCCACCACAGATGGACTCATAGCAGTTGCAAGGGCTGACTTATTGCTAAATTTCTTCATAAGAGATGGGCAGACAACCAGCAGGAGACTGTTTCACGTGACACAGGCTAAAAGATTGACTTGTTCTTATTTTATGAATTCATTTTAACACATCATTTTGCATTTAGTGATATTCCTATACATGTTTCCATGAGCAGAAATGAAAATTTCATTGAATGACATTTTTCAAATGAATACTCCAAAATTATCTACCTCATCACCTGGAATGCCTATTACAATCTATCCTAGAATGAACTGTGTGCTTGCTCAGAGAAGGAAATTGCCATTCAGCACCCTTAGTACAGAATATTTTAGATTGCAATCCCTTGCATGGTTAACTGGGATTAATTTCCATTACTATTATTATTATTATTATTATTATTATTATTATTATTATTATTATTATTATAGCATTTCTATGCCGCCCCTTGCCGAAACCTCGGGGCGGCTTACAACATGATAAAATACATTGAAATGTATGTAATGCCAGTATCTGGAAACTATGAAACTATGTAATGCCAGTATCTGGAATTGGTATAATTAGGCACCTACTAAGGCCAATACCTCCTTCATTGATCACTGCCTTGTCGTGGCGAAGGGGCTTGTGTAGCTCAGTGAAGCTATGAGCTATGCCGTGCAGGGTCACCCAAGACGGACAGGTCATAGCAGAGAGCTCTGACAAAATGTGATCCACTGGAGAAGGAAATGGCAACCCACTCCAGTATCTTTGCCATGAAAACCCCATGTACAATATCAAACGGCAAAAAGATATGATGCCGGAAGATGAGCTC